TCAGTAAAAGTTGATTGGTTAGTTGTGTTTCTTTTTGTTTCTCACCAAGGTAAATAGTATGGATTGAGCACTTACTCACTAAGGAATAAAATCCGAGGCTTGATGCACGTAACTTCATAGGTCATATGTTTTGACAATGGAAACCATATCCCACTCGTGTTCAACTCCCCTATCGAGAGCTTCTTCGGCAGTCATGTCAAAAGACATCAAGACAGATATGTTCTCATCCAAATCTGAGGTGAGCGATGCAGCTGAAAAGTAAAGAAAATTTGTTTAACTATTTCATTTAAGTGTAATACATTTAGAACAAATTAAACATACCACCGGCATGAACCCTTGTCCATGCTCTGGCATTGGACCAGTATAATGCTTCGTTGTGTTCCAAGAGATTTGCAGCTTCGGCATTGAGTGGGCTATCAGGATTTGGTAAACTTAAGAGGCACCTCGCCGCCTCCACACATTCCTTCAAGACAATTCCTGAATGCCTGGCAAGCAGAGAGGCAACATTAAGTTATTTTAAGTACAAACTAGCACAATAAAAGCTAACTTGGCATGGATAATAAAATACAATAAATATTGATATGAAGTGCAAGTTCCAACAATAATTAGACTGAGAAATATTTTTTACAAGTACAACATATTTAGTTATTTTCCATTTACAAAATGCATTGTACATATACGATCTCACACCAAGCTCCAACCCTTGCTCGTCATCCGATTTCTAGTAGATCAGGAGTGCTTGTACATTTTCAATCTTAATTTATGATTGTACAATTTCTACCCTAGAAAATTATTGCCTGTGCCTGGGACAACAATTTTTGACAGGGTGTCAGTGTGTTCTTACCAATTTCTATCAAGTAGATCCATACAGATTCTTCCACTTAATTGGCACACATTAGGGTGCCACACACGCGTTTTGAAGAACATCTGTGAAAAGCCCAAAAGATAAAATATGAAACACTTGTATGGTAATTCTGCAACATAGAAGGTAGATGTCAATTGTAGTCATAGTACCTGCGGGTTCTTAAAGGGGAACTTGTCTGGAATTTCGATTTTTAAGTCAAAGGTTCCGCCTTCAAATTCAGTTCCTTCCAGGCCCCAAAAACTTACTAGAACACAAGACAAGTCTGAGACATCTGGGTCTGTTAGGAAAATGCCATGAGTTTCCTGCAAAAATCCAAAAGAAAACACCAAATTACAATGTGCTGAGCAGCAATCATTTTTTCTCTCTTCACATATCACATTTACATAACTTTGTTTTGTTTCATGGGTAAATGGGTGATTCCGCCAAAATGGGACGGGTCCGTGTCCGCGAAAAAGTTATATATTTGAGATAAACGAGAAACTTTTTCACTGACACGGACCCGGCGCCATTATGGCGGAATCACCCAGACATGTACAAGTACTACAAAACGAATCCTAGAGACTGGGTCAAAGAGGCTATCTTCCCTACCTCTTTTTGAAAATCCTTGATATCGCTCATTACACGCTTCAATCTAATGTCCGACATTCTTTCTCTTCTATCAAATTTCTCCAACGATTAACCCTTTCAATTCGCTCTGCGCTCTGTGACAACACCGACAAAGCCGACAAAGCACACGCAAGAGAGAAAGGGCGGGGAAAGACACGGATCACTCGCGACGATTTTGAAAGTTCCAGAAGGCCGTAGGCGTCGGGTGATAAGAGAGACGGAACCGGATATACGACGAAGTGAAAAGTTTAATATGATAACAAAAGGACCACAGCACACAACTTGTCTCATCCATAAAGGACGCGAATAATGCAACACCTGGTCCAGACCGGATTTACTCAGTAAGCCTGGTGAATGCATTCAGGATCGAGTAGAACACAAAGATTACTGATTGGTTGAGCCTCTACCGGCATGACGTAGAGGCGGGAATCTCACGACTAATCGGGAACGTTTACGTTGTCCCTGCTAGCCGAAATACACTATTTCGACTGGCGGAGGAAGAAAAATAGCAGGTACATCATGAACGTCACCGATTGGTCGAGAGCTTCCCGTCTGCCTTCGTCTCATCAGTAGTGGAGGTAAAGGCTAGACCAAACAAGAACCTTTATTTATGTTCTATTCGCTCTCTTTCCTCTCCCTCTCTTTCGCCCTCTCCCCCCTACTAAGACGCGGTGGTGAAAGTCAAGCACAATTTTGTTCACAGAGCAGACTCGCGGGGATGGAGTGCAGTTTCAAAACTGTATTCGCTCGCTAGTGACGCACCGGATGTAACGGGTCCACGTGGCTCTGTGGGTTGTGGGTCTACCATCGGGTCCGGCGTGCACAGTGCTCGCTGGCCGGGCTTCGACCTTCCCTCCGGGCCCACCCCGTCTTGGTGGCCACGCTGACGCGGAGCTGCACAACACCGTCATCCGCCCAGCCATCGTCTACGAGCTCTGCACTGCCCACGAGACCCAGCGCACCAGTGCCTCACTCCGCCGCAATGGCGGGCTTAGGGCTTATCCTCGGGGCGTTGCGTGCCACCTCTCGACTGAGCCAGGCAGGCGACCAGGCGCAGGCGCCCCGGCGCCTCCAATCGGCCGCGCTCGTGGTACTTCCCCATGTCGGCGTCGGCGCCGTCACCGGGGCCGGGGGCGGCGGGAGCCTGCAACCCAGGTTCACGTCCATGAGCAGCAGCATCTGAACTGCAGTGGTGCTGTCCCCAGTGAGCAATGACTATCGTAACGATAACGTTTCGATATCGTTGTCGACAATGTATCGAAATCTGAACCAATTTCGTGTCGTTAACGATACAAACGGCAAACGGCAACCCATACCTTCCCTGAAGCGCTTCAGCTTCAGATGCACGTCCTCGCCAGCCTTCGTCAACGCTGTGCTGGCCGCGCACGCCGCCACCCTGGAGGAGGTGAGGGTGAGGGACCGCTCTCGCCCACCATAGCTCGCCTGCTCGCCGACTTGCCCAGACTCCGGTCGCTCACGTGCGGGAGCTGGAGGTGCCCAACGAGCTGCTCGAGAACGAGCTCCTGCCGGGCATCACCACCGCGCACCGAGGCTCTGGTGCCGCTGTGCCCTCGCTGCCGGCCTTGCGGGAGCTGGAGGTGCCCAACGAGCTGCTCGAGGACGAGCTGCTGCTGGGCGCGCAGTCACCACGGCCACCACGGTGTCCAGGGTGTCGCTCGCTGCCGAGCTCACCCACCACCAGGGTGCACTCTGTGCAGCGCACGCCCAGCTGCTCTGACCCCGGTTGCTGCTTGGCAGCCCTCTGGTGCCGGCAAAACTTCTCAGTTTAGTTTTGAACTGTTGTGCAGTGTCGTGCTGAGCTGATGGCCTAGATTGGTGCAAGGTAGGGCTGCGACTTCCCCCCTCCGAGTTGAGACCAAGGTTGTCAGTGTTTTGCTGGATGAGCGCATTTCGTGCACCACGTCCTCGTCACACGGCGTCGACATGAGTTGCCATGGCTCGGTGGCCACCCACACCACCCGACTCATCGCAGACGCGCCCCACTGAACGCGTTCGAATTAGAACACCATACCCACGGCACACAGGCGTGGGTTTGACTTTCACCGAGGGGAAGTCGTAAAGCCTCTTTCGTCTGCCACGGTCACCCGCCTGCGTATACCCGCTACCGACCATTACATTCTCGTGCAATGCTATTGATAGCGCCTGCGTCGCGGTGGTTCGGCCCACCCGCCAAGCAGCTGCGTGGAGCCGGTGGCCCGCCTACATCAGCGTCGCTGAGCTGCCGCCACAGCGCGCGTCGGGTCCCCTCACTTGGCGTTCATGGTCGCGATCGACTCACATACTAGTGAGTAAAATAATCAGCGAGATTTGTGTTAAAAGACTGACGCTGGTTCAGAGAAATCTGTACTCAACCGTTCACAAACCCATGGCCGCACAGAGAGTCATCGCCTCGCTCGCCACGGCGCAGGCCACGCCCCCTCTGCGGAGGCACGGCGCCAGGAGCAGCACCTGTCCCCCGTCCCGCCCCGCACCTGAGACAGTATGTCGCAAGAGGGCATGGGCCTCAGGTAGGAGGGCCCGGGCCGGGTGGTCGCTTGCGACCATTTCCCTTTTCTCCTGCACAATCACTGCTTTTCCCTCCGATGTCTCTTGCGACCACCTCCCCATGGTCGAGGACGACGACAGCTCCGATCCCCGGACCTGAGCAACCGCATAGCCAACGTAAAAACGGGCACCTGCTTCGCCGACCTGCGCAAGCTTACAGCTCAACACAGCTGGCAACGACTGCACGTCGTGGCCCTTCGCCTCGCTGCAGAAGCTCAAGGCGCTCGTCCTGGCCGACAACAAGCTGTTCGCGCTCGGGGTTCCCCTCGAGTACCACGATGACGCAGAGCATAGAGGGACTGCTATCGCGCTCCCGCCTCTACCTGCACTGCTAGCCGCCGCACCTCGCCACCACCGTCACCATCGTCCGGAACGACCAGCCGCAAGTGCGGTAGCGGTCCAGCTACAGCAGGCCGCGTGCGTCACGTCGGTGGGGAAGCCGTCTGAACCGACGCGCGCAGCAACATGAGGGTGGGGCACTTGCAAGTCTAGGAGTGCGCGCGTGTGTTGTCGGTTGAGCTCGGACAAGGCTCGTGAGACGAGCGAACGTGTTGCTTTCGATCCGGCACACAGAGTAGTTTCGCAAAGTTGAGGCCCAGGATGACGACGTCGGTGACGGCGGTGTGTGTGTGTGGGGGGGAAGTGAAAAGTTTAATATGATAACAAAAGGACCACAGCACACAACTTGTCTCATCCATAAAGGACGCGAATAATGCAACACCTGGTCCAGACCG